AAAAGAAGGAACAATGGCTATGCCAAAAAGGGCCACAGCCACATGCAGCCTATTCACTACAAGAACTGTGCCCGATGCATGCCCAAGGCCATTAAGAAATTCATCATTCGAAACACAGCGCAAGCTGCAGCCGTGAGGGACGTTTCTGAAGCAAGTGTCTTTGATGCCTACATGCTTTCCAAACTGTAAGTGAAGTACATTACTGTGTGAGTTGTGCCATGCAGCAAAGTATTCGGGAATCAATCTCATGAATCCCACAAAAACCAACACCCCCACCCTGAACTAGACCCTGCATGTGCTCCCCCAGCAAAGCCCATGTAAGAGCTGAGTCCTTAAAGACTGAGGAAGAACTGTTCTCTGGAGAAAAATAAAACAGAAATTTTACTTAAAAAAAAAAAAAAAGAAACTCTCAAACGCTACTGGACACACACACACACACACACACACACACACACACACACACACACACAGAGTTTGGCCCATTGGCAAAAACAGAACAATAATTGAAAAGGATTGAAAGTATCAATTGTGGCCAGGCACAGTGGCTCATGCCTATAATCCCAGCACTTTGGGAGGCCGAGGACGGTGGATCACTTGAGGTCAAGAGTTTGAGACCAGCCTGGCCAATATGGTGAAACCCCTTCTCTACCAAAAAATACAAAAATTAACCAGGCGTGGTGGCGCATGCCTGTAGTCCCAGCTACTTCAGAGGCTGAGGCCAGAGGATCACTGGAACCCGGGAGGAAGAGGTTGCAGTGAGCTGATATGGCACCACTGCACTTGAGCCTGGATGACAGTGTAACGCTCCGTGTCAAACAAACAGAAAGACATCAATTAGAGGGTGGGCTCAGTGGCTCTCGTCTGTAATCCCAGCACTTTGGGAAGCAGAGGTGGGCAGATGGCTTCACCCGAGGAGTTTGAGACAAGCCTGGGCTACAGGCAATACCCGGTCTCTACAAATATTAAAAAAAAAAAAAAAGATTAGCTAAGCATGGTGGCATGCAATGTAGTCCCAGTGACTCAGGAGGCTGAGGTGAAGGATCACTTGAGTCCAGGAGTTTGAGGCTATAATGAACCTGTGATCGCACCACTGCACTCCAGCCGGGGCAAGAGTGAGACCTTGTCGCAAAAAAAAAAAAAAAAAAAAAAGACACCAATTGGGACTATGAATTCTGCGCTTGACAGAATTAAACATATTGAACTCACCCTCCTACCACAAATAACTATAAAACTGAATGAAATATATGAAACTGAGACACTGAAGAACGGACAGCAAAGGCTGTGATCTCTGAAAGGTAAAAAGTATGACAATGATGGCAGAAATTATGTGAGTTTAAATGGAAATACAGTTATAGGGTTCTTTTATTATTTGTGACATGGCAAAATAATTCAAGGTATACCATGAGAAATTAAGGATGCATGTTATAACCTCTAGGACAAACACTAAAAAAAAAGTTAGATCTAAACACCCAATAGAAGAGATAGAACAGAATATATTAAAAATAATCAAGGGGCTGGGCACAGTGGCTCATGCCTGTTATCCCAGCACTTTGGGAGGCCGAGGAGGGCAGATCACTTGAGGTCAGGAGCTCAAGACCAGCCTGGCCAACATGGTAAAACCCCATCTCTACCAAAAAAAAATACAAAAAATTAGCCAGGCATGGTGGCGCATGCCTGTAGTCCCAGCTACTTAGGAGGCTGAGGTGGGATAATCACTTGAACCCGGAAGGCAGAGGTTGCAGTGAACAGAGATCACACCACTGCACTCCAGCCTGGGCGACAAGAGTGAGACAGACCCTGTCTCAAAAAAATAAAATAAAATAAAATAATAAAAGAAAACAGGAGGCCAGGTGTGGTGGCTCACGCCTGTAATCTCAGCACTTTGGGAGGCCAAGGCAGGAGGATCACCTGAGGTCAGGAGTTTGAGATCAGTCTGGCCAACATGGCGAAACCCTGTCTACCAAAAATAAAAAAATTAGCCCAGATGTGGTGGTGAACGCCTGTAATTCCAGCTACCAGGAAGGCTGAGGCAGGAGAATCACTTGAATCCAGGTGGCAGAGGTTGCAGTGAGCTGAGATCACGCCATTGTCCTCCAGCCTGGGTAACAAGAGTGAAACTCCATCTCAAAAAAAAAAAAAAAAAAAGACAGGAAAAGAGAGGGAAAAACAGATAAACCAATAGAAAACAAATAACAAGATGGTAGACATAAACCCAACAGTATAATTAAACATAAATGACTGCTCTCAAACATAAGAAAATGAATTAAAATTAAAAAAAAAAAAAAGAAAACATAAATGAAATAAACTCCCCAATTAAAAAGTAGACATTGTCAGACTGGATAAAAAAACAAGTCCCTCTTATATACTGTTTGTAAGAGACAGATTAGTCTGACAACACCTTAATTCACAACTTTATCATCACTAAAAGTGAAATAACCAGATACTATGTATCTATTGATAGGAAGTCCACAGCACCACCTGTGAAATATTTTCACCAAGAAAACCAACCCTGAATATAATTTAGTCTTAAGAGCTATCAGTTTAAAGTGATAAAAAGGGTAGGGAAATATGTTGAAAAACATCATGAAGATACAATTAATCAAAGGAAGAATGTAGAAAATATTCCAGGACAAATGACCTGGCCTAGTCCACAAATAAATGTATGCGGGAAAAGAGGAAATGGGAACTATGATAGGTGAACAGAGTCTTAAGAGACATCAACAAAAAATGGAATGTGTAGACCTTCTTGAGATCCTCATTCAACCCAACTAACTGTAAAAAGCACTTTTGAAATGACTCAAAATAACTGAACAGAGACTGAGAATTAAATGACATTAAAGAATTATTGTTGATCAGGTGCAGTGGTGCATGCCTGTAATTCCAACACTTTGAGAGGCCATGGCAGGAGGACTGCTTGAGGCCAGTTCGAGACACCAGCCTGGGCAACAGAGCAAGACTTCATCTCTATGAAAAATAAATAAATAAATAGAATAAGAGATACACGTAAAACAATATGTCTGATGCAGCAAGCTGGATGTAGTAGCGTGTGCCTATAGTCCCTATAGATTTGGGTTCATTTCCGTGCTAATACAATGGTAGGCAGAATTCTAAAAACATTCATACTCCTCCCCCTGGATTTCCATCCACTGGCTATTCATTTAAACACAAATTTAGGAACTGCTATAAAGGGATATTGCAGGTATAATTAAAGCCCCAAGTTGTTTGACCTTACAATCCAGAGATTATCCAGGTGGGCTGACCCAAACAGGCGAGCCCTTTGATAGCAGTTTTCTCTGGCTGGACGCTGAAGAGGAAGTCAGAGAGAATGGAAGCGCAAGGACTCACCACGCCATTACCGGCTTGAAGGTGGCACGTGAGAAGAAATTCCAATGGCTCTGAGGAGCAGAGAGCAACTTCTGGCCGACAGCTAGCAAGGAAATAGAAACCTCAAGCCCACAACCATACAAACTGGATTTTGCTGACAACGTGAATCAGCCTGGAAGCGGATTCTTCCCCAGTACTTCCAGTAGGAGCCCAGCTTGGCCAATGCCTTCATTTTGACCTCAGAAGACATTAAGAAGAGGACCCAGGCAAGCCTGTCTAGACTTATGACTTGCAGGATAGGCAGCTAACAGCTGGGTGCAATGAGATGCACCCATAGTCCCAGGTACTCAGGAGGCTGAGACAGGAGGATCACTTGAGACCAGGAGTTAGAGGTTGTACTGTACTATAATCATGCCTGTGAATAGCCACTGCACTGCACTCCAGCCTGGGTAAGACAGTGAGACCCTGTCTCTTAAAAAAAAACAACTATAAGCTAATTTGTTATGTGGCCAAAGAAAACTAAGGCCGATATGAGAAACCTGGCAAAGGGAAACTGTTTAGTCCAGCTGTTCATACTACAATGAATAAAATGTAAATTCACTAAGACTGTTCCTGTGCAGGCAGTGGCTCACACCTGTAATCTCAATACTTTGGGAGGCTGAGGCAGGTGGATCACTTGAGCCCAGGAGTTTAAGACCAGCCTGGGCAACATGGCAAAATCCCACCTCTAAAAAAAAAAAAAAAGTTCAAAAATTAGCCAGGCATGGTGGTGCGCACCTATAGTCCCAGCTCCTCAGGAGGCTGAGGTGGATGGCTTGAGTCCGGGAGAGAGAGGCTGCAGCGAGCTGTGATCATGCCACTGCACTCCAGCCTGGGTGAGCCAGACCCTGTCTCAAAGATAAAGACTCCTGAATCCAGAGAAGGTTTTAATCATGATGCATTTTCCTCATCAGAAGTCCAAAACATGTATCAAAACTGCCTGATGTAGTGACTACCACTTAATACATTTGAGCGCCTTCCACCTTGAATTCCCTTATTATTTATTAACCACACACATGGGGGGCAGTTAGTTAGTACACGTGGTATTGAACAGTCTCACTCCCAGAGCTGGAGTAAAAGTTTCTAGATGATCTATAACTTATTCTTCTTGACATCTCACTAAAAATAACTGATCTGGCATGATCCTTAACATACATTAGGAAAAAACAAAAACAAAAATACCAGATCTGTCAGACTGAAATAAACATTTCTTTTATTTTTTTGAGACAGAGTCTCACACCGTTGCCTAGGCTAGAGCGCAGCAGTGCAATCTCGGCTTACTGCCTCCGCCTCCCAGGTTCACATGATTCTCCTGCCTCAGCCTCCCTGGTAGCTCGGATTACTGGTACCCACCACCACAGCTGGCTAATTTTTTCTACTTTTAGTAGAGACTAGGTTTCACTGTGTTGGCCAGGCTGGTCTCAAACTCCTGACCTCGTGAACTGCCTGCCTTGGCCACCCAAAGTACTGGGATTACAGGTATGAGCCACTGTGCCCAGCCAAATATTTCTTATATTGGATTAACCTTGGTTATCCTCAAATGAGCAAGAGTAAGCTTTGAACTACCCCAGGGAATACAGTGAGGCAATGACAGTTCTCTTGAACCACCCTGACCACCAAGACAAAAGCAGCCTTACCTTTGTATCTGGTACCTGGGCACCAAGGCTGCTGAGTCCCACGATGGAGTAGAAGGCAGATTCCAAATTTGTGAAAGGGCGGTCCAGCGAGGCTTTCAGTCTCTCCACGTCATGCTTGGTGAGGTAGTGAGTGGGCGTCAGTGCCTGGGTGATGGCTATGATTGTCAGGGCCAATAGGATGACAGTGCTTGAACCTTGGGGGGAAATGACTATTCAGTACATTTCACACTCTTCCAAGGTGCTATACACAGTCCCAGTGATGATATGCACCAAGATCTGGGAACCAAATCACATGGGAAAGGGCAAGGGAACCAGGGGGTTTAACCTGAGGAGAAGCCTTGGGGAGCAGGGGAGTCTGCTCTTCAGCTGACGGAAGGACAGTCCTCCTAGCAGCCTCCAGGTATGTAAAGTACAGGCTTATCCTACTATTCCCATTTAAAAGATGTCCATAAGTCCTCTGCCTCTAAGGAAAAACCCATCCTGAATCCTCACACCTTGCCAGCCTCTCAACCAGATCTCCTCACTTGTGCTTCCCACCATCTGTTGCTCTCTGGCTTCTTCTCTGTCCTCTGAGAAGCCAGGTTCTTTCCTGCCCAGTATTTTTTCATGCTTTCCCCTACCTCAGCTTTGCTTAATCTTTACTTTCAGAATTCAGCTCAAACATCTCTTCCTCAAGAAGCTCTCCCTTGGCTGGGCACAGTGGCTCACACCTGCAATCCCAGCACTTTGGGAGGCCAAGGTGGGTAGATCACCTGAGGTCAAGAGTTTGAGACCAGCCTGGCCAACATGATGAAACTCCATCTCTACAAAAAACACAAAAATTAGCCGGGCGTGGTGGTCGGCACCCGTAATCCCAGCTACTCGGGAGGCTGAAGCGGGAGAGTTGCTTAAACCTGGGAGGCGGAAGTTGCAGTGAGCCAAGATCGGCCCATTGCACTCCAGCCTGGGTGACAAAACAAGACCCCATCTCAAAAAAAGAAACAAAAACAAAAAACTCTCCCTAGGATTAGGTCCCAGTACAATAAAGTAGCAAAGAACCCAGGCTCTGGGGCCAAGCTTAAATCACAGCTCTGCTACTTATTAGCAATGTGGCCTTGGCAGTTATTCAACTAGCTGGTACCTCAGTTTCCTCAAGTATAAAGTGGTATAATAAGAGTATCTCCCTCAGGGATGATTACACGAGTTGATATAGAAAGATGTGGCCAGGTACAGTGGCTCACAACTGCAACCCCAGCACTTTCGGAGGCGAGGCAGGCGAATCACCTGAAGTCAGGAGTTCGAGGCCAGACTGGCCAACATGATGAAACCCTGTCTCTACTAAAAATACAAAAAAATTAGCTGGGTGTGGTAGTGGGCGCCTGTAATCCCAGCTACTGAGGAGGCTGAGGCAGGAGAATCACCTCAACCTGGGAAACAGAGGCTGCAGTGAGCAGAGATCATGCCACTGCACTCCAGCCTAGGTAACAAGAGCAACACTCCGTCTCAAAAAAAAAAAAAAATCTTAGAACAATGACTGGCACATAACAAGTGCTATATCAATGTTAACTACTATTTCTACTACCATTATTACTGTTGTTGTTATATCCACTCATAGCAATCAGTACTTCTGTTATGTGGCATTTTCCGTAACTTTAACAGCATAATGTCTGATTTCTCTGCTAAATGTAAGTTCCAAGAGGATAAAGACGCTTCTTTTGTTCATCCCAAGTCTTGCGCACTGCCTGGCGCATAGCAGGTACTGAATAAATGGAAAGAAAAATTAATCCCCATCTATGATACCCCAGGGGACAGGAAGCTATAGGAGTGGTACATTTCTGCTTCATTTAAAAAAACAAAACAAAAAACACTTTTGAATGGGCTGCTTCTTGATAAAGTGCATTGTCTGCCACCCAAGTAACAGCAATAACAAACAATCACTGGGCCAACATGAATGGCCCCAGCAGTTCAAGACCAGACTGGGCAACATGGTGAATTCCTGTCTCTATAAAATAGAAAAATTAGCCAGGCATGGCGATTATGAGCCTGTGGTCCCAGCTACTCAGGAGGCTGAGGTGGTAGGACTGCTTCAGCCCAGGAGGTTGAGGCTGCAGTGAGCCGTGATTGCGTCACTGCACTCCAGCCTGGATGACACGGCGAGATCCTCTCTCAAAAAGAGAAAAAAAGAAAAAAATCTATCATGTAGCGTATTCATCAAATGTATATTGAATGTTACTATATGCCACACACTACTTTAGGTGTAAAAAATACAACAGGGAACAAAAGAAACAAAACTCCTACCATTCATAGAGCTTGAATTCTAGTGACAAAATAAAGACCTCACATGAAATAAGAAATATTATTCATCAGGCCGGGCGCGGTGGCTCAAGCCTGTAATCCCAGCACTTTGGGAGGCCGAGGCGGGTGGATCACGAGGTCAAGAGATCACGACCATCCTGGTCAACATGGTGAAACCCCGTCTCTACTAAAAATACAAAACATTAGCTGGGCATGGTGGTGCGTGCCTGTAATCCCAGCTACTCAGGAGGCTGAGGCAGGAGAATTGCCTGAACCCAGGAGGCGGAGGTTGCGGTGAGCCGAGATCGCGCCATTGCACTCCAGCCTGGGTAACAAGAGCGAAACTCCATCTCAAAAAAAAAAAAAAAAAAAGAAATATCATTCATCACATTAGAAGGTAAAAGTGCTATGGAAAAAAATAAAGCAAAGATGAGATATTTGGGAAGGGCTGCATTTTAAATACAGTAGTCTGTGAAGGCCTAAGTAAAAATAAACATATTGAATATAGACCTGAAGGAGAAGCAAATCATAAAGATATCTAGTAGGAAACTATGCCAAGAAGAAAATCTCAGTGCGGCCAGGTGCGGGGGCTCACGCCTCTAACTGCAGTGTGGAGGCCGAGGAGGAAGGATCATCTGAGGTTAGGAGTTTGAGACCAGTCTGGCCAACATGGTAAAACCCCATCTCTACTAAAAATACAAAAAATTAGCCGGGCATGGTGACTTGCACCTGTAATCCCAGCTACTCAGGATGCTGAGGCACGAGAATCACTTGAACCGGGAAGCAGAGGACAACAGTGAGCTGAGATGGCGCCACTGTACTCTAGCCTGGGGCTCTGTCTCAAAAAAGAAAAGAAAAGCCAAGTGCAAAGATTCTGAATGAGAAGTATGTAAACATACTTCTGAGATCAGCAAAGACAGTACAGCTTGGGTGGAGTAAGCAAAGGGTTAGAAGTAGATGAGGTGACAGAGGTAGCAGAGAACAAATCCAGAGGGCCTTGTATGCCACTGTGGTGGAAGCCACTGGAAAGTTCTAAGTAGAGGAGTGATTTGACTTACAGGCTAATGGGATTACTGTGCTGAGAATAAGCAATACCGTGTCAAGAACAGACCATGCAGGAGCAAGGACAGAGCAGGGGACACCAGCTGGGAGACTACCACCACAATCCAAGCCAGAAGACGATGGCAGTCCAAACCAGGGTGACAGCAGTAAAGGTGATGAGAAGTGCTGAGAGTTAGTCTGGCTAGAATTCAAAGTCAAAGCCTAGGCCGGGCACGATGGCTCACGCTTGTAATCCCAGCACTTTGGGAGGCCAAGGCAGGCAGATCACAAGGTGGGAGGATCACAAATTCAGGAGTTCAACACCAGCCTAGCCAAAATGGTAAAACCCCATCTCTACCAAAAATACAAAAATTAGCTGGGAGTGGTGGTGGGCGCCTATAATCCCAGCTGCTCAGGAGGCTGAGGCAGAAGAATCACTTGAAACTGAAAGGCGGAGGTTGCAGTGAGCCGAGATAGTGCCACTGCACTCCAGCCTGGGCGAAAGAGCGAAACTCCGTTTCAAAAAGAAAAAAAAGTCAAAGCCTATCAGAACTGCTAATAAATAGAAAGATGCAAAAGAAAGAGGAATCAAGATACTAATGCTGAGCCCCCAATGCCTTGTCTACATGGAGGCACCCTGAAGATCTAGTGAATGGGCCGGGTACGGTGGCTCACGCCTGTAATCCCAGCTCTTTGGGAGGCCGAGGCAGGCAGATCATGAGGTCAAGAGATGGAGACCATCCTGGCCAACATGGTGAAATCCCGTCTCTACTAAAAATACAAAAATTAGCTGGGCGTGGTGGCACGCGCCTGTAGTCCCAGCTACTCGGGAGACTGAGGCAGGAGAACTGCTTGAACCCGGGAGGCAGAGGTTGCAATGAGCCGAGGTCGCGCCCCTACATTCCAGCCTGGCGCCCGGCGATGGAGCAAGACTCTGTCTCAAAAAAAAAAGATCCAGTGAATGATTGTGACTATCATTTTCCCACCTAGACCATAAATTCCCCTAAAATAGCACCTGTGTCAGAAGCCTAATCTTCTTACTCCATGTTAATGAAAGCAGTAATTTTTTTGACTAAAAGTTGAGCCCTTAATGTGTTGGGTATGCCCATGCTATGCTGTGCTTTGCACACACCAAATCATTAAATCCTCACAACATACAAGCAAGGTGGCTATTTTCTGCATTTTACAGGGCAGGAAAGTGAGGCACAGAAGTAGTTACCTGCCCTAGGACGCATAACGGAGAATCAAACTTCAGGCAATTTGAATCCAAAGTCTACTTTTAACTACTTTACTATCCTGAACTTCTCAAATAATGAAACGGTGAGCCACTGACTCATTCACGTGTAATACTGGGCAAGTAAGTTCCCTTCTGTGGGATTCCAATTTCTCATCTGTCAAATGATAATGACAACAGCACATGCTTCCAAAGTCGTGATGAGGCTACATGAGATTCCACCCTGCAGAGTCCACTCAGTAACTTCTAATACAGTTAACTTTACTGAGTTCTTACTTAGTGCCATGCACTGTTCTAAACTATGCACGAAGATTATTTCACTTTATAGAGCAACGCAACGAGGCAGATAACGTGGCTAACTTGACTAACTTATTTTACAGATGAGAAACTGACGTGCAGAGGGATTAAGTAACCTGCTTTGGGTTACACAATGAATACGAGTCCGCCCGAAAGTCTGCACCCAGAGCGTAACTTCAGAATATGCTCCAAGCTCACAGAGAGAAATGAGGGGTTTTCTTTGCCCCTTTCACTGAAGGGGAAACTACAGCCCAAAGAAGGGCGATCTGCCCAAAAGCTCAAACGGAATAAGAGGCGGCGCCGGGACCAGAACCTTAGGCCGCCCGGCCCAGGAGCCCGCGCGAGTGAAATTAATGAGGCCAGGCCTACCGGCTAAGCGCGGCCGCGGTACCCCCGGCTGGGCCTCGGGGCGACCCGTAGCTCCGCGCTGCACCCCCTCCCCCAGGCACCAACCCCGACAGGTAACCGGCACTCCCCACCAGCTCGCAGGCCTCCTGCGGACCGTCGACCCGAGAACGCCCCCACCCAAGCCTGTGCCCATGCCCCTGTCCCGCAGAGGAAGAGGATCCCGCCTGGCCGGCTCCCGAGCAGCGGCCAGTAGCTTCCCGCGGGCGACGGCTCTCTCCCCAAAGAGTGCCGGCCGCTGGGCCCTGTCGACGAGCCACGCGCAACTCCTCACCCGGCAGCGCCATTCTTCCGTGCAGGTCCCGCCGGAGTCCAAGCCGCAGGCTGACTTCCGCTTGGGAAAGCGGCTCCAAGAAACCGCTGCAGGGGACGGCAGGAACTCGCAGCAGGCTCTGCGGGACAGGATGAGTTCTAAGCAAGGGTCAGTGTCCGCGGCCCCGCTAAGCCTGGACGCCCAAGCAGCCGAGGCCGGGACCCCAGTCCTCGTGCGCACAGAGCCTCGCAGTTCCCGAGGACAGACCCGTTTCCCCCCCCCCGCGCCCAGGCCCACTTGAAAGCGACCGTCTCGAAACGGTCCTATTCCGGGAGCTACCGGAACGCGATTGGGCCAGGCTTCTGGGCGGGCCCGAGACGGGTCCGCTTCTGATTGGCCGATTTGCTGTCATTCACTTGTATTTCTTCAGCCCGGCCCATTTTAAAGGAACAAGAAAGGTCTCGTTGGGAGGGGGAGAGCAGTATTAGAAGGGATTTTCTTTGTTTTTTTTTTTTTTTTAGAAAATCGTGGCAGTTTCTGGCCGGGCGCAGTGACTCACGGCTGTAATCCCAGCACTTCGGGAGGCCGAGACGGGCAGATGGCTTGAGGTCAGGAGTTCGAGATCAGCCTCGGCAAAATGGTGAAAACCGGTCTCCACCAAAAATACAAAAATTAGCCGAGCGTGGTAGCGAAGCGCCTGTAGTCCCAGCTACTTGGGAGGCTGAGGCAGGAGAATCGCTGGAACCCGGGAGGTGGAGGTTTCAGTGAGTCGAGATCGCGCCATTGCACTCAGCCAGGGCAACAAGAGTGAATCTCCATCACACCGAAACACACAGACAGACACACACACACACACACACACACACACACACACACACAGAGATAAATAAATAAATACCTGTAATTAAATAATGTCAGCCAAGGGAGGGAGGAAGGGAAAAATAATAAATTATGTCAGTTCCTTCCAAAGATTATCACTTGGGTTGTTAATAACTGACCTATGAGTGATATTTTATCTGATTTGCAGAGCAATTCAGTGACTCCTAGAGAACATATTAGGCCAGTTTTACAGACTCAACATGAAAGTGGCTCATGCAGGAACACGGTTCTAATAACTAGCGCTAATTATTGAATATTTACAGTATAAGCCAACACTGTGCCGAGCGCTCTACAAACATTATTTATTTTCTTTCCTTTTTTATGGATACAGGGTTTTGCTCTGTCGCCCAGGCTCGAGTGCAGTGGTGCGATCACAGCCTACTGCAGCCTCGACATCCTGTGCTCAAGCGATCCTCCCACCTGAGCCTCCTGAGTAGCTGGGACCACTGGCACGCACCACGATGCCCAGCTAATCTTTTAAAATTATTTTTGGTAGATACCGCGTCTCACTTTGTTGCCCAGGCTGGTCTGGAACTTCTGGGTTCAAACGATCCTCCTGCCTTAACCTCCCAAAGTGCTGAGATTATAGGCTAATCTCATTTTAAAGAGAAGGAAACAGATTTGAACCTAGGCAGTCTGACTCCAGAATCTGTGCTTTTAACCACAGTATTATGAACATATAAAGTGTACACAATATGATAACTGTTATTAACGTTATTATTGTCCCAAAGATTTTTATCCAGCATGGGAGAGAGTCAGTTCTTTCTGTGTCTATTATAATAGCCACTAGCCTTATGTGGATATTTAAATTTGAATTTAAATGAATTAAAATTAAGTAAAATATAAAATTCAGTCTCTTATTTGTACTAGCCACCATATTTCAAGTCCTCAGTAGCCACAGATAGCTAGTGGATATCAGACTGGACAGCTCAAAATTATAGGACATCTTCATAATCACAGAAAGTTCTGTTGGGCAGTGCTGATCTAGAATATATAAAGAATTCTCCCAACTCAAGAATAAGACAACCAAGCAGCGGTGTGCTGGAGCTGTCTCATACTGTCTTTAGAGAGTCAATTGTTAAATTTTCAGTAATTTTACAAATTGGTTAAATACAACCATTTAGAAAATTATATCAACTTAGCATTAAATGAAGTATATTAGAAACAAAACATTATTTCCTGATTATTCCACTACATTTTACATTTGCTGTGCTTTTGTGGTTGTTTATATCTGTTGTAACCATGTGGTGGAAATATATGATGGTACGCCATTGCACATCTCTTCCCAAGGAGGTATTGGTAGCTTGCTTTTGGCCATGATGGGAGTATTTACACCGTAGAATCAGCATACGCAGCCAGGAATGGTGGCTCAGTCTGTAATCCCAGAGCTTTCGGGATGCTCAGGTAGGAGGATCACCTGAGTCCAGGAGTTCGAGACCAGCCTAGGCAACACAGCAAGAACCTGCCTCTACAAAAAAAAAAAAAAATTAATTAGCCAGGTGCGGTGGCTTGCATCCGTGGTCCTAGTGACTAGCTGTGGGCCACAGATGGGAGCCGCCACACCTGAATAATTTAAATGAAAAAGAAGAAAAAGAGAAAAAACAAAAAGGCCAACAATAGCAAATCCTGGCAAGGATGTGGAACAACAGGATCACTCATATCCTGCTGATGGGAATGTAAAATGCTACAACCATTTTGGAAACAGATTGACGGCTTCTCTGTTGTTTTTTGTTTGTTTTGAGGCAAAGTTGTTCTGTCACCCAGGCTGGGGTGCAATGGCACAATTTCTGCTCACTGCAACCTCCACCTCCTGGATTCAAGAGATCCTCCTGTCTCAGCCTCCCGAGTAGCTGGGATTACAGGTACATAATTTTTTTTTTTTTTTTGTATTTTTAGTAGAGATGGGGTTTCACCATGTTGGCCAGGCTGGTCTTGAACTCCTGACCTCAAGTGATCCACCCACTTCAATCTCCCAAAGTGCTGGGATTACAGGCCACTGGATGCTATTTTTTAAGAGGCAAGGTCTCTATCTGTCACTCAGACTGGAGTACGGTGATGGGATCATAGCTTACTGCCGCCTTCAACTCTGGGGCTCTAGGATCCTTCTGCACTGGCCTCCTGAGTAACTGGGACTACAGGCACATGCTACCACGCCCAGCTAATTTTTAAAAAAATGTTTTGTAGAGATCGTGTTTTGCTATGTTACCCAGGCTTTGTCTCAAACTCTTGACCTCAGGCAATCCCTTCACCTTAGCCTCCCAAAGGCGCTGGGATTACAGGCATGAGACACAGCACTTGGCCAGGCACCCTCTTAAGAAGTCAGTTATACGATCTACCACACAACCCAGCCATTCTGCTCCTACTGGGTTTCTTTTTTTTTTAATTAACTCATTTTGTATTAAAGAAATATATGCATACAGGACAAAGTTCAAACTTTATTGGTTTGGAGTTTCCTTCCAAAATTGTTTTATTGGCCAGGTGCGGCAACTCACTCCTGTAATCCCCACACTTTGGGAGGCCAAAGTGGGCAGATGACCTGAGGTCAGGAGTTTGAGACCAGCCTGGCCAACATGGCGAAACCTCATCTCTATTAAAAATATAAAAATTAGCCAGATATGGTGGGGCATCTGTAATCCTAGCTACTCAGGAGGCTGAGGCCTGAGAATCACTTGAACCCAGGAGGCAGAGTTTGCAGTGAGCCGAGATTGCGCCACTGCACTGCAGCCTGGGAGACAAAGCGAGACTCTGTCTCAAAAAAAAAAAAAAAATTAAAATTAAATAAATACATAATTTTTAAAAAGTAATTCCAGCTGGACCCGGTGGCTCACGCCTGTAATCCCTGCACTTTGGGAGGCCAAGGTGGGCGGATCACAAGGTCAAGAGGTCGAGACCATCCTGGCCAACATGGTGAAACCCTGTCTCTACTAAAAAATACAAAAATTAGCTGGGCCTCTTGGCACCCACCTGTAGTCCCAGCTACTTGGGAATCTGAGGCAGGAGAATTGCTTGAACCTGGAAGGCGGAGGTTGCAGTGAGCTGAGATCGTGCCACTGCATTCCAGCCTGGTGACAGAGTGAGACTCCGTCTCAAAAAAAAAAAAATTAATTCCATAAGTTATTTTTTTATTTTTGTTTTTCTTCTAGAGACAGGTTCTCTCTGTCACTCAGGCTGGAGTGCAGTGGTGCCATCATAGCTCACTGCAGTCTTAAACTCCTGCACTCAAGAAATCTCCTGCCTCAGCCTCCTGAGTAGCTAGGACTACAGGCATAAGCCACCATGCCTGGCTAATTTTTTACTTGTTTGTAGAGACGAGGTCTCACTGTGTTGCCCAGGCTGGTCTCGAAGTCCTGAGCTCAAGCAGTCCTGCTTCAGCCTCTCAAAATGCTGAGATTACAGAGTGAGCCACCATGCCCAGCCTCCATAAGTTTTTTTTCATGTATGCCAACATTTGTGTGTGTGTGTGTGTGTGTGTTTCTGTGTATATACACAAATTCTTATTACTTTTGTGAAAACATTGTTTTGTTTTAATAAAAGGTGTCATACCCATTGTTTGACAGCTTGCTTTTTCATCTATCCTAAACATCCAGTAAATAGAGGCTTGCTCAGTCATTCACTCTAGCAATAATTGTTGAGTACTTCTGTATGTCTCTGTTCTAGACTCCTGGTACATTTATGAACAAAGCAGCCAAAGATCCCTATTCTTGCCCTCATGAAGCTTATATTTTAGCGGGAGGAAATAAATGACAAACAATGAACATCATAAATAAGTGAAAGATATATTAGAAGGTCTTATGTGCTATGGGAAAAAAGAAAAAGTAGGAAAGCATAAGGAGGATAGAGGGAGTTAGTGAGGTGTTCTACCTCAATCTCGTTGTTTTTTTTTTTTTTTTTTTTTTTGAGATAGAGTCTCACCAGTCACCCAGGCTGGAGCACAGTGGTGTGATCTCAGCTCACTACAACCTCCACCTCCCAGTTCAAGTGATTCTCCTGCCTCAGTCTCCTAAATAGCTGGGATTACAGGCATGTGCCACCATATACTCAGCTAATTTTTGTATTTTTAGTGTAGATGGGGTTTCACCATGTTGGCCAGGCTGGTCTCAAACTCCTGACCTCAGGTGGTCCGCCTGCCTCAGCCTCCCAAAGTGCTGGGATTACAGGCCTGAGCCACCGCGCCTGGCTCTGTTTTCTTTTTTGAGATGGAGTCTCCCTCTGTCGCCCACGCTGGAGTGCAGTGGCACCATCTCAGCTCACTGCAACCTCTGGGGTTCCAGCAATTCTCCTGCCTCAACCTCCCACGTAGCTGGGATTACAGGCAAGTGCCACCATGCCCAGCTATTTTTTGTATTTTTAGTAGAGAAGGAGTTTCACCATGTTAGCCAGACTTGTCTCAAACTCCTGATTTCAGGTGATGCACCCACCTCGGCCCGCCAAAGTGTTGGGATTACAGGTGTGAGCCACCACGC